TCAGCTTACGTAGATAGTCTAAATAAGAAGCTGACTTTAGAAAGTTTGAGGCCCTGAATATTTTGTCAACACAAATCTTTAAGCTACTTTATGACATTAGAGCTAAAAGGAGAGTATCACAAATTAAACTACCTACAGAGTCAGGCAGATAACATAAATGAGTTATGTTGACTCAGTACATTCAGAAACTACACACTAATACACATACAAATCAGTGTTCCAATTCATTTTAACTTTATTTTTTAATTTGATTTTTATTTCATTTATTTAATTTTGAGACAGAGTGTCCCTCTGTTGCCCAGGGTGGAGTGCAGTGGTGTGATCTTGGCTCACTGCAACCTCCACCTCCCGTGTTCAAGCGATTCTTCTGCCTCAGCCTCCCAAGTAGCTGGGACTACAGGTGTCCACCACCATCCCTGGCTAATTTTTGTATTTTTAGTGGAGACAGGGTTTCACCAAATTGTCCAGGCTGGTCTTGAACTCCTGAACTCAGGTGATCCATCCACCTCAGCCTCCCAAAGTGCTGGGATTACAGGCGTTGAGTCACCACACCCTGCTTTTTCTTGACTTTATAATAACTCATGAAGTAGGTCCAGTTATTAGCCATAGTTTTGCAGATGAACAGCTATGGTACAAAGTTTAGTAACTTGTGTTTCCCACAGCTGGTATGTTGAAGACCCAGGATCAGAATACAGCAGTATGGATCCAACTTTCTACATTTAGCCATTTGGTTCTTCTGCCTGCTAGCAATAAATAAATATAGTAATTGATAGTAAAGTACTACAGAGGAAAAATAAGCCAGAGTGAGGGGAAATAGAGAAAACCATGGAGAAATTTATTTTTTTATATAAAGGCCAAGGAAAGCCACTTTCAAGTGGTGAGATTTCAGCTGGGCCTTGGCAGCTCTCCGAGAATGTCCCAAGTACTGCAAAAACGGAGGTGCAAAGGTCCCAAGGTAGGCATGTGACAATGTAGCAAAATTGGAAGTGTTGGAGACTATTACCAACAATGGTACAGAATGAGACTTCTCAACTCCAGCCAGTTGTTTCCAGACAGGAATGCAGACTGCTGTCTTAGCCTTTTTTACTCTGGACCCCACTTTTGTAGAGTCTTACTCAGGAACAGAATACCTAAGACTGGGCAATTAATATGAATACAAGTTTATTGACTCACAGTGCTGGGAGGGAGAAGGAGGGAAAGGGAGGGAGAAGAGAGCTGACTCACCCTTTTATAACAGTACTAATTCTGTGAGGATAGAGCCTAATCACCTCATGGCCTAATAATCTCTTAAATGTTCACCTCTTAATACTTTTAAAATGGCAAATTTCAACATGGATTTTGGAGGGACAAGCATGGAAAGCATAGCAACCAGTGTGGCCATATCTTCCAGTTTTTCAGTAGCACCAACAAGTTTTTAATGTATGGTTTCTTGGTTTTTAAATGTTCACATCTAACTCAAAAAAATCACATTACTATGGCCAAACAAATAATATATGCAGACTGGTTATAACTCATGGGCCACTAGTGTTTTACTGTCTAATTCCCTTGGTTTGCATTCCTGAAGACAGAGACCAGAGAGGGAAAGCAATTTGTCCAGAGCCCTACAGGTGGTAGCCAAGCTAGTCTTAGTTAAAAATCCATACTCTGTGGCCAGGCACTGTGGCTCACGTCTGTAATCTCAGCACTTTGGGAGGCCGAGGTAGGCGGATCACCTGAGGTCAGAAGTTCAAGACCAGACTGACCAACATGGTGAAATTTCATTTCTACTAAAAGTACAAAATTAGCCAAGATGGTGGCGCACGCCTGTAATCCCAGCTACTCAGGAGACTAAAGTAGGAGAATCGCTTCAACCCAGGAGGTGGAGCTTGTAGTAAGCCGAGGTCATGCCATCGCACTCCAGCCGGGGCAATGAGAGTGAAACTCCATCTCAAAAATTAAAAAAAAATCCAGGCTTTGCAGCCAGACTGCCTAGGTTTGAATGCAGGGTCCGCCACTTACTAGTCATGGGACCTGGGGCAATTGCTTAACAACTCCAGGTCTCAGGTTCTCATCTTTGAAATCAGAATAAGAGATAATCCATGTAAGCATTTAGAACAAGCTTGTCCAACCCACAGCCCACAGGCTGCACGTGGCCCAGAATGGCTTTGAACATGGCCCAACACAAATTCATACACTTTCTTAAAACATAATGAGCTTTTTTTGTGATTTTTTTTTTTTTTTTAGCTCATCAGCTATCATTATCATTAGTGTATTTTATGTGTGGCCCAAGACAATTCTTCTTCCAATGTGGCCCAGGAAAGCCAAAAGATTGGACACCCTTGATTTAGAACATATGGGGTTCAGACATTCAATAATGGAAGTAGTCAATGATATTTGCTGCTATTATCATTATTCCCACAAATCCATTTTTTCCCCTGTCTTCCACGCTAGATTATATCAAATGCCAGCACAGCCTTCAAGTCAATCAGCTCAATCAAGTGTTTGGTGTAAATAAAGGTTTTATAGGACTTTATTTAGGTTCTGCTGCAGTCCCTAATATTATAAGACTGATAAGCAGTGCTGATAAGAGAGCTGCTTTTTCCTGGAAGTGTTTCTTTTGGATTTATATTTGAAACAAGTTGAATCCTCTGAGCTCTTGCAAGGACCAGAGGTAAATCAAAGCAGCAATTATTTCTCAAAGCCAGATGTGACCTTGCATCCCATCAGCCAGCCCATTCTCCTGGAGGGCTGTGATGAGAAGCTTTGACACTCCTGAATGTGCCTGAGGATTTATTTGTGCCTAATCATTAGCAAGGGGATGCTGAGTCTGATACAACTGATGCTGTGGAGAAGAGGGGACACATGAATCATTCTACCTTAAGGAAATTGTGTTTTCCACCTTGTATCAGAGAGACATAAATTAAGGTGATGAAATGCCAGGAAACAAATGGGCTCTAAACCATTCTAAGGGAATTTTATGAATTTCACTGTGTCTGGTTTTGTCTTGAGACAGAGAGTGACCTTATGTCTCTAACCTCAGCAGATCGGAATTTATAAGGGATCTTAGGGAAGGATGAGCTAATCTTGTGCTTCTCAGTGCGTGGTCCTTAGACCAGCAGCACTGGCATTAGCTGGGAACTTGTTGGAAATGCAAAATTTCAGGTCCCATCCCATAAGTAATCACAAACTCCAGGAATGGGGCCCAGCAATCTGTGGTCTAACAAGCTCTCCAGGTGATTCTGATCACGCTTGAATTTGAGAACTCATGTAATTCATCTAACCCTTAAGCCCTGTGCCATATTAACATCACCTGATGATCTTTAAAAAAAAAAATACAGCTTGGATCCCGCCTCTTTGTAGTCTTAGACAGGCTAGAATGGAACTGGAGTGGGGTTTCTGACCTCCTCACAATCAACACTTTGAGCTGGAGAATTCTTTGTTGCATGACTGCCCTATGCACTGTGGAATGTTCAGCAGCATCCCTGGTCTCTCTACCCACTATACCAGTAGGACATGTTTTGACAAACATGTCTGCAGACATTGTCAGATACTTCCCTGAAAGGCAGAATTGCTCCCCTGCCCGTCCCACCCCGTTGAGAACCACTGGGCTACAGCATAAGTATTTTACAAGCACCCCTGTGGTTCTAACATGCAGCCAGGACTGAGAACCACTGACCTCATCCAACCCTATCTTTTTAATTGTCAAGGGAGACTGCAGAGGATGAGCTTTAGTGGTTCTATATATAGGTAAAGGCACACTTTCCCAGCTCTGTATATTTTGTTCCTAATTGGAGTCCATGCCAATCAGAACAGGCAATCCCAGGCAGGTGAATGTGTTTTTAGGAGAGCTAGTTGGCCATCTCATCAAATGAATCCCACCCAAACTCAGAACCCATGGAGGGACCAAAATGAAAACAAAGATGCATGACGGGGACTATTGCCAGCTACAGATGTGTCCAGGGTAACAGTGATTACCTCTTTGCTACCTAGCCCCACAAAATGGGGTTCCAAAGGGAAGGAATCGGGGAGGGGTTACTACCCTTGCCTTTCAGATATTTTCTCCCTGTGCTGATATGTCCTGTCTCTAAAAGAGTCATGATCATAACTTATTGTGCCTGTCTTGTGCTCTAACCTTTGTTTGCCATGTATGTTCTCTGATTCTCTTCAAGCCTCAGACATATGATTTCTTACATGCTTCCTCTAAGCTAGGCCCTCACCAGATTCAATCTTTGTGCAATCTTTTTTTTTTAATTAATTTTTTATTTTTTTTTTTGAGATGGAGTCTCACTCTGTTACCCAGACTAAAGTGCAGTGGCGTGAGCTTGGCTCACTGCAACCTCTGCCTCCTGGGTGCAAGCGATTCTCCTACCTCGGCTGCTGGAGTGGCTGGGATTACAGGTGTGTGCCACCACGCTCGACTAATTTTTGTATTTTTTGCAGAGACAGGGTCTCGCCATGTTGGCCAGGCTGGTCTCTAACTCCTGGCCTCAAGTGATCCACCCACCTCAGCCTCCCAAAGTGCTGGGATTTCAGTCGTGACCACCACACCCAGCCTGCTTGTGCAATCTTGAAAACACTACAGAAGAGTGGGTATTATTGTCCCTATTTTACAGTTGACTGAAGTGAGGCTCAGAAAGGTGAAGTGACCTGTGATCACACAGTGGCCAAGTTTATTCTGATGCCAAAGCGCTTCACGTGTAACTGAGCAGTGTACATCCTTCAGGAACTACTCACATTTTCCCAGCTGTGTCAACTGAGCCTCTGAGAGGCTAGGCAGTAGGCAGAATCATGTTGCTGACACCCCTGTTGTAATGTCTTTTCACCTTTTTCCTTGGAATAAAAAGGTAGCTACAGTCATGGCCATCACCTCAAATGAGCCTTCCAAATGCAAATGGGCAGCCAGACAATCTCTACATCCCTGCATTTTGCTGGTGGTGCCCAGAGGGGAAAACAAATGAATGCTCCATCTTTGGGGTCTTTGTGAAGACAGCAGGTGACACCTGTTCTTTCTGTATTGGCAGGTCTTGTACAGATGGAACAGACAAAGCAGCACATCTGTCATTGAAACAAATAAAACATCGGTGGAGCTTTCTTTGCCTTTTGATGAAGATTATATAATAGAAATTAAGCCATTCAGTGATGGAGGAGATGGCAGCAGCAGTGAACAAATTCGAATTCCAAAGATATCAAGTGAGAATGCCTTTTTTTTCTCCCTTTTCTCCTGCCTGTCTTATCTTATCAGCCTTCCAGATGAGTCAGGGGTTGAAAGACATTCAGCCTGCAAAAGAAGACTTAAAAATGGAGGACACTAAGCCCCCTTCTCCAGATGTTTGCTGGCCACAGGCAGTTTCATGCAAAAATCAGTTTGCCCCCACCAATCTACTCAGTTGCTAATCAAAAATCAGGTTAAAGCAGCCCCGAATCAGTCACTAAGATTTTCCTTGTCAACCTTTGTAGTTTGCAGTGCATCTGTGCAGTTACAGTTTAGAAAGTTAAAAGCATGACTCAGTTAGAAGGAACAAGCAAAAGCATTGTTAAGTATGCTGTAGCAGTTTTTCTCCCGTGAAACAGTATATACAGTTCAATGTCTTGGAAATATTTTGGATTCATTATTTATTTTGAATGGGTATATGTAACTTATGTGCATCAATGTATATGTCTCTCTATAGTCAAGATTATTTTCACTTTCAAATATTGTTGAATAGCATGTGAGAATAGTATATTTTTTTTGAGCAAACATTCAATTCTGTTTTTACAAATATCATGTTTGTAAATAGCAGCATATTACTTTTTGCTGTTTTGTGTGATCTCATTTATTTAAAGAAAAAAACAAATCCATGGAGACAGAAGTGAGGTCAGTGATTGACAGTGGCTGGTCAGTGGGAAATAGGGGTTTAATGGTACTGGCTCTTCATTTGGGATGACAAGAAAGTTACGGAGCTTGATAGTGGTACCGGTTGTACAACATTGGAGTATACTTAGTACCACTGAATTGTACATTTTAAATGAGTTAAAATGGTAATTGTGTTATGTGTATTTTGTAGCAATAAAAAAATGATTGTTAGGTATCTAAGTGTAGATTTTCACAGGCTTTCAGATTTAGCAGTTTGGAAATTAGGGAAACAGTGAAGGCTGGAGATAATAAATTTTCAAGACATCAGTAAAGAGGTGATATTTTAAATTATGGACAAAATCCTCAGCACCGTCCTGTCTTTTATCCATGTGATGTCCCTCTGTTAAAGGGTGATATGCCAGTGTTTCTGGATGGGGTTCATATTTACTGCGTGTTTTTTGCATACAAACACAAAAGGTATTTTTGTATCAAAACTGGGGACAGTTGGATTCTACACTTCACCAAACAAAGCCTCTAACTTCTGTCAAAAGGGAGCCAGATTTTTGGTGAGATGTGGAAGTAATCTCCAAGCCATCAAAATACAAGACTGGGGTTAATTTATCTCACTTCATTAAAAATCCCCCTTTATACTTCATACTTGCTTATCATTGCAGAGATTGGTATTTTTAGGTAGACTGATGATTCCTGGTTTTATTCATTACAAAAACATATGTTAATCAATTATATTGGTGTAGTTATTAGATGACAAGGACACGACTGTGAGCCAAACATGATCTGTTTCAAGAGATTTTTCATCATGTTGATCAAAGCAACCTTACAAGATTGAAGAACTCCCAAATGACAGTTGATAGCTTCTGACTATGAAAAATGTAAGGCCCATAAGAAAATGTAAAAAGGACTGAGGCTATTTTGTTTGGAGAAAAGGGGTAGATTTAGACAGGCATGGGTTTGAACCCCAATGTAACCATTTACTAGCTGGGTGATCTTAGACAAGTTATTTTATTTCTCTCGGCCCAAATTATTGCATCTATTAAGTGAAGTAATAACAATACCTGGCCTTCATCCAGTTTTTGCAAGATTTAAGTGTCATATTCATCTGTGCCCAGGCACAAAGATAGAGTTTAAAAGTGAGTAGCAATTTTCATTTTATTGCATCATTGACATAGCATGGTGTTTATCAGTATTGTTACTAGTAATATTGAAGTTTATTCTCACATTAGATGGAACATCCTCATTTTACAAATGCTTTGACAGAGGTACAGGGCTGTCCTATACCCTACTCCCAGGTTCATAGCTAGACAGTCATAGAACTGATATTTAAAAGCCGTTAAGAAATCATCATTTCTAGTAAAATCAATGCAGTTCTGCTGTTTCAAAAAGCCCTGTGGCCCCTCTTTCCTTCAAAGCCAGGATGGGGCTGTTCTGAGTGAATTTGTTCTTTCTTTACAGATGCCTACGCAAGAGGATCCGGGGCTTCCACTTCAAATGCATGCACGCTGTCAGCCATCAGTACAATAATGATTTCCCTCACAGCTAGGTCCAGTTTATGACAAAAGTTATCTAAAGGACTTACTGTTTATACTATAAGCAACATTTAGCTAGTTGTTTTGAAGACACCCAGTACTAAGTAATATTGTTGTTCAAGTACATCTTATTACTGGAATAAAAATGTTTTTTGCTTCTTTAGGAATGGCATTATACAGTACTTCCTCAAAGCAAATCTAGCTTTGTCTGAAGTTTCTTTGGAAACTCTGCAATGCACTGAAGACATCTGTAATATGATGTTACCAAAGCAGTTTACATATGTCCTTATATGCATATTTTTTATTATATATTTAGTGTTTTATAGAATTTTTTAAAGTTAACATATAATGTAGATATTAATTTTTTCCTCAGCTGTAAAATGCTATGGGCAACAGAATCATGCAATTATGATTTGAAAATATTTCCTTTAAAGACAGAGTTTGAAATTCATCTTAGTAAACAAACTGCAAATTACTCGTACAGTTTTACAAGGATCTCGTGGCAGAACAGCTGAAGACTTGGTCTATAACTCAAGGCTGCTGTATGCAAATTACTCTTCAAGTGGTTAATGCATTGAATCAAGTCCTTTTGACATATACTATATGTTTTCTCATGCCGTTGTGAATTTTGTTGTTCAACACAACTTGAGATGGTTTCAGGAATGGCTGCAATCTCAAAAGCTAAATTTACTGCCCAAGAGGCACCTTGTGCAATATTCCCATCCCTGAATTTAGCATTGTACAGTAAGATTTTCTTTACACTCAACTAAGTTAGCATTGTCTTTGTAGTAGCATTATCTTAGACATTAAATTTAAAGTAAAATATCCTGTAGTAACATAGACCAAAAGTTACTATAGTTAACCAAGTCTTTCAAAGGTTAAAAGATAATTTTATTATCTTTAACTGTATCTATTTTGAATGTAAATTTTAAAAAAGTAATTCTCTGTCAATGGATTCCTAATTTCTTTAAAAATTTCTTATATATATTATGTGTATCTCTGTAATAATAGAGCCCTCCTTTTGAATCAAAATTACATATGGAGTTTGGAAGATTTCACCTATTTCAACAAATAGTTGCTGCAAGAATTTTTAATATGACTCTATAAAAGATCTTTAGTACAATTGTATGGTTTCTTGATGATTCTGTTTTGCAATAGGTAGCCTAGTTGCTTTATACGCTTTACCTTCTAAGTCTTAAAATCACACATTGGAAAATGACAATATCAACAAAACTGTATTCTTATGAAATGAACTATTTGTTACAATGGGAAAGGTTTTGTAAGCCAATGCTAGTGGAACAGTGACATAAAAGGCAATGAAATTTTCTATAAACATTTTCACATGTAAACACGCTGCCACAATTTCTTCTTTCTCAGAGAACTCAGATTTGCTGTAATTTGTCATTTTTGCTTACAAATAATATAACTTAGTTTTTCAAACTTCTAGTTATATTTATCCAATAAAATCATAATCAGGATTCCATTTGTGTAAAAACTAGCGTGGTAACCGGAAAAAAAATATTGTCAGTATTTCAAGCTGTGTTCCTTTCTTAATTTAATATGATTACTTCTATGTTAAAATAAAATGAAATTTAAAATCACATGCAAAAAAAAAATCAACAAAATAATAAAATGAATGAAAAAAAGATGACACCCCAGGGAGTTCCCAACCCCAGTGTAAATGATATTTACCAGTGATCTAGCATATGTAATCTTTTTTTAAAGGTATTGTTAATAAATATTCTCTCATTTGTAAAGATACTTGTCTTTTGGGAGCATTTTTCCTGCCTGCCTGTCAGGGAATTTGTTAGCTTACCCTTGTGCTAGTTATAATTTGGGATTATCGAGGGACTCAAAAGTCTCTACCCAAATCTAGATGACCCAGAGCTATTCCTTTGGAATTGACAACCCTGAAGACACCATTTCAAATCCTCTTTGGAAGTAAAGAGGGTCCTAATTCACAAGTAAATGTCCTAAAGATGAATATTTTCTCTTGATTAGCTAAGTCTTTTGTATATTTAAGTATATCTGTTGTTTTCCTCACTCCCATTGCCAAAAGGATATGTTCTAAACTTTCTAAACTTGAGCATTTAAGGCCCCCCCCAACTTTTTGTTTTTTTTTTTTTGAGACAGAGTCTCACTCTGTCACCTAGGCTGGAGTGCAATGGTGTGATCTCGGCTCACTGCAACCTCTGCCTCCCAGGTTCAAGTGATTCTCCTGCCTCAGCCTCCTAAATAGCTGGGATTATGGGCACCTGCCACTATGCCTGGCTAATTTTTGTATGTTTAGTAGAGACGAGGTTTCACCATGTTAGTCAGGCTGATCTCGAACTCCTGACCTCAGGTGATCAGCCCACCTCGGCCTCCCAAAGTGCTGGGATTACAGGTGTGAGTCACTGCACCCAGTCTTTAAGGCCCTTTTTAATCCAAAACAACTTAACTGTGTATCCAGTCACTCTGAGCCATCCCTGACCCCTGAAGACTGCTTGCTTTTGGTCTCACCTCTGTGCCTTTGGTCTTATGGCTGCTCCTTCCTCAAATGCCCTCTCCATCCTTCTCTCCCATCCAAATCCCAGCTGTCCTAGGGTAGCTCCAGCCCCAGTTTGTCTGCAAAACCTTCTCATGCTTCAGTCCTTTATGGCATTCTTCCTCTGAATTACCTGCAATCCCTAGCAATGCCACTCATTTAGTAATTAATCAGATACTACTTTTGGAAATACCGTGTACTGTTATCTTGCGTTTTAATTTAACTCCTGTATTGTTACTTACTTTTCCTTGTATGTATGGCTTGTCTTCCCAACTAGATTGTAAGCTCCTTGAGGGCAGGGACTTTGGTCTTATCTTCCATGTACTCTCCATAGTGCCTAGCACAGTGCCTTGCAATAAATGCTCATTGATTAATTGATTGAAGGGGTCTTTGAAGTAGCATTTTACATCAGTTGCCTACCTGTGTGCCATAGTAAACCAACCAGGGAAGACTGTGTCGCTACTTTTGTGATGAGGTGAAAAGCGTTAAAAGGCCTGGCTTCAAGTCCAGTAACTCATGCCTGTAATCCCAGCACTTTGGGAGACCAAGGTAGGCAGATCACAAGGTCAAGAGATGGAGATCATCCTGGCCAACATGGTGAAACCCTGTTTCTATTAAAAATACAAAAATTAGCCAGGTGTGGCGGTGCGTAGTCCCAGCTACTTCGGAGGCTGAGGCAGGAGAATTGCTTGAACCCGGAGGCAGAGGTTGCAGTGAGCCAAGATTATACCACTGCACTCCAGTGTGGGTGATAGAGGGAGACTCTGTCTAAACAAACAAACAAACAAACAAAACAGGCCACTCTGTGGGTGGTGGGAACTTTGGAGAGTCTTTTTGGGGTGCTGTTGTGGGGATGAATCAGCTTCTTTTCCAATTTTGATGTCATTGTGCTCAATATTCAGATTCCTGGGAAGTGTCTAATCAGTTCCATTTGAGTTCCACAGCCAGATTACCTTGATCAGACTGTGTGTACTCATAGGGGAAAGATAAAGGAAAATTAAGATGCTGTTTTCCAAAAAGAGAAGAGAAGAGATACTACGTTGGCATAAGTAACAGATTTTGTATGCTCAGCCAGCCAAGGGGACTTTCCTAGGCCCTTAGCCCAAGTAATACACTCCAGTGGAATGAATATATTGCTCCTAGAGATCCTTTTCTGAAGGAAGAGCACTAGGAAAATTTGCTTTGCTCATTTAACCTTTCCAAGTGCTTACTCCTACTCTCTTTTTGTGTGTGTGTAATTCCATTGTGATTTAACTGTGTGAAAGGAAATTCTGTTCTGCCAGATATGTGGATTCTCTCAGTGTACCTACTTTCTAGAGAGCCCACACATGCTATGTACAAAGCACCTTGCCATGGGGGCAGAAGACATGGATGATAAGCTTCATTTCTCAGGTAAGCTCTGAATTCTTCTATTCTGTGAGGTGGGAGGTGCACATATTTTGATATTGAAAGAGAATGATTATGTTATTCCCACCACCAAAATTGTGGTTGTTTATATCCAGGAAGCAATATTAAATCCTGATTAACCTTTTCCCAGTCTCGTCCACCACCTTCCCCTATTACAAATACGCTCAAAGAATGTTGAGTTATAGAAAGTATGTAAATCACACATAATTAGCAACAAACATGTTATGCAGTTTTTAAAGTAATCTAATGTAATGTAAGCAACCAACAGGTGATTTTTGTTCACCATATTGGAATATCGATGCTACTGTTCCCCTCCATTAACAGTGATAAAGAAGTGACTGTTATTTTCATGTTGTTACAATTAGCAGAATGTTCTGACTAAAACATTATGTGTCTAACCACAGTGATTTGAAAGGCAAGCCTCTAAAATCAATAGTCAATCTGTGGATATACCCCAGATTTTTCCATTACAAAACGCCAGACACTGAAGCCTTGCAAAGGCAGCCTAATACAGAGACTAAGAATGTGGATCCTGGAGTTTGGCTGTCTGGGTTGCATTGTAAGGTTGCTACTTATTAGGGAGGAGAAAGTTTGTAAAGCTCTAAATGCATGGCTCTCCAAACAGTGATGGTTTTATCATTCATTATTGTTCTTTTTCTCAAGGGACTTTACCAGAACCACAGATAATAGGCTGTGGATGCTTCTCATCACCAAAATGAGTGGAACTCGGCTGGCACATCCATTATCACCTTTTATTTAAATATTATCATTTCTTAATATAAATTTTAATATTCAATAATTTCAATAATACAATCAACTCATTCAAATTTAGTAGGGATCCCATTCAGATGCCAGGTTTTGCACAAAGCCTCCCTCAGCTTCCCCATCTGGAATTGACGTTGCATTTTTGTGACTTCCAGGGCATGGGGTCAGTACCCATTCGTGTCAGTCATCCCTTTGTCCCTTGTATTTAAATCATTCTTGTTGGTATCTTCTCCCTTATTACTATAAGGGAGCACCTCAGCTCCCTTATAGTAATGTAGCACCTCACTATACAGAGCACCTCAGCATTGGCATCTGGGTGAGACTCCTCACTGTACTCCGGGGCACCAGGCCCATGTGCCTCCCATCTCAGACCTAGAGGGAGAAGAATATCTGGCATCATTTCCTGTGATTTCCCCAGGTCCCCTACTGGAGTGTGATTACTAAATACAAGTCAAGCTGCCCATTCTGCAAAGAGACCCCTTTTCCCCTTGTACTAAATGGGCCATACAGATTAAATGCTCCAATTCTGCAACTTGACTGTAAACTACAATACTGAACAGAGCTCAGAGTTTAAACAAAATTGGCCACTATTCTTTATCACCAACAGTTATGGGCTGTGGTAGATTAGCAGAGCTCTAATGATATAGATCACATAGAAAGCTTTTTTTAGAAAAGGTCAACGATGTGATAGATCTGAAAGTCTGGAAATTGGAAGGCTGAGCTACTTAAATATAGATGTGATTACATGTGATATCCCATTCTCTGTAAACTGGCTTTTGCCACATGTCCTTATTAATTGTTATGAATAACACAAACTATACCAGGAAATAGATATGTCTTATGGCTTTAACAATTTGTTTTTCTAGTTTTCAAGGTGCTCTTCACACGAATAAGGGGAGGACACAGGTTTTTATTCTTTTTTCATTTAAGAAATGGAAGCAAAGAGGTGATATAAGAAGCCCAAAGTAACACGGAATTAGAAAGGCAGAGCTGGACACAGTGGCTCACACCTGTAATCTCAGCACTTTGGGAGGCCGAGGTGGGCAGATCACATGAGGTCAGGAGTTTGAGACAAGCCTGGCCAACATGGTGAAACCCCATCTCTACTAAAAATACTAAATTAGCTGGGCGTGGTGGTAGGAACCTGTGATCCCAGCTACTTGGGAGGCTGAGGCAGGAGAATCACTTGAACCCAGGAGGCAGAGGTTGTAGTGAGCCGAGATCACCCCACTGCACTCTAGCCTGGGTGACAGAATGAGATTCTGTCTCAAACAAACAAAAACAAACAAACAAAAAGTCAGGACTAGAATTTAGAACTCAAACTTGTAAGCTAGTGGATTTCATACACCTAGAAATAAGTACTTAGAGAAAGGACAGGATAGAGTAAAGAATTAGATTCTGAAGTTCAACTAGAGAACATTCTAGGACAACTAGGTAGGCCAGAGGAAATGGAGAAATTGGAGAATGGGATGTCTGAGGTTCAAATGCTGAAGGTGGAGAAGTTCTGAGTGATGGCCAGGCCCAGGGCACAGCCATCTGGAGGAATGAAATAGGATAAGTTCCTGGAGAGGGTTTTAGTTATTCAGCAAGGGACTACTGGCTACTCTCTCTGTACTAGGCACTATTCTGGGCACAGAAGAATGACGTGGCACTCAGATGTGCATGAGGAAGCCAAGGCACCAGTAACAGTATTTTGTCACAATACAGAGAAATGCAATGATAATAATAATGATAGTAAATACTGATTATGCTTATAACACGCACCAGTCTCAGTGCAAATCAACCTACGGATTTAGTTACCATTTATTATTCCCCTATTTTGTACACAGAGAACTGAGGTTGAGAGGTTCACATTTGTCCCTAATCACACAGTTGATCAGAGGCCAGGAACTGAAATGTTGATGGCTTCACTTTAGGGCCCTACTCCAAAATATTAGATGTCTCCATCTGTAAATAGATGATACATAAACAATAAGGTAGATAGGTAGATAAATAGATAGATACAGGTTCCCATATAGCAACAAGAGGGAAGGTAGTAATGAGCTTCAGGCTCAGGTGGGAT